CCAATCACGACAAAGCCGCACCTTGAAAAAGAAGAACGCTAGTTATAGTGAATCCAATAGCGAACGGTAGAGAAGAAGTCGTGACCAAGTAGAGGGTGTAGTATTACCAAATTTAGTTGAGGTCGTTGTCACTTGCGATGTGTGGTCTGCACTCGGCTTGCATCTGGCTTTCGAAAGCAGCCTTTATATCCTACTACAACACAACCCTCGCTTCATTGGCCAGATGGGTCTCCCGTCAACTGCCGGGACCTTTCATTCCTGCCTATATCTTCCGCTTCTCCATTTTGCGGACGGACAGAGGGATATACGTACTCACATACATACAGACACACATACATACAAACCCACACACTAAATTAGCGGCTTATGTAATAGAAACATTGATTGTTTTTTTTTGATAGGCAAAATAGTTCGAATGGGATTCCGGTTGAAAGACAAACCACGGGATTAGCCCGACCTGAGGGAAGGATATCGCGAGGGAAAATGTGAATCCCTACCTACCTAGATCACTCCAGCTTCGCCGCAAAAGTTGCGCGGTTAGGGCGCTAATCCTTATGGGCCTGCGACCAGCGACCCCCGTTTGCAACGCTTCCCATCCCACCTCGATATCGGCGTGCTCTCTCGAACGGCCTGATCTCTCGCGTGCTTTGTCTTCTTTAACTGCCCTGTCTCGCCATCGTTCAACACCCGCCTTTTTCAAAGGTTATGCTTCAATTTCAGGATCCCAAAGATTTCTCTAGCTTTCCTTATCACTATCAGAGCGTCTCGCAGCTTAGTCATCACTACGAAGCGCTCTTATCACCAGTTTTGTCCTGAGGCTTGCCTTCAAGTGACTTTCGTCGACCGGGCCTCCCATTTCGCAAGCCTAATGTTGAAAACTCAACAAATGTAGAAAGTGAACACATAGATTCGTAGCTCGTGTAAACCTCTTTAGAGTGAAGTATGAAAATGAAAGTGTGAGAAAATGTCGCAGATCAATTTCCACTTTGGTGAAAAAAACTATAAACAATTACTTTGCTAGGAACCCATCGCGTGCAAAAACGTATACGTCACGAGCAACTTTAAAGATAGCCAACTTGCTTATTGTAATAAACAAGAGAAATGTGGTGTACTCACTAATCCCTTCACGTGCGATTCGATTTCTTCAGTCAACTGGACAACTTGATTTTCGGAAGGCGCTATTATCCAAATATACGGGCATATGTCGCTAGCAAAAGAACACAGAATTGCGTAGAACATTTTTTTTTTCGTTGAAAACCGGCTAAGACTGCCAGGCGGGGGAGAGAGACTTGAAGGTTCATGGGCCCATATTTTTATTCTTCTCGGTTGCTACCCCCCCCCCTTCTGGGACTTTAGTTCCTGATGATGGCTCCGAGTTGTTGCGATAGCAGACTATTTCGATCTTCTTTTTTTTTCAGTGGGCGCGTTTGTTGTTGCTGGTAATCATGGATTGCGTCGGTGCAATCGCAGGAAAGGACAAGTGATTGATTTCATTACCTCAGGTGCCATTGAGTAAGCCATCACATCAAAACCTCACCCGTAGTTAGGATCGAATCCTCAAGATCAAATTATGCCTGGAATTGGTACCAGGTGCTCGCGTCGAAAGTAATTATTTTGTTTAGTTCAACTGAATTGCAAAACTTTGACATTCTCGCTAAATCCACACTATTCACTTACTTCGAAAAGTGTTGGTCGTGATGCAGTAAAAATGAATTCCTGTTAATTAATCATTATCACACTATAAGAAACAATGTCAAGGCTTGAGCTCAGCGATTCCTTGTAGGTATTTGAATACATGGCATCGGAAAACACGGCTTATGGCGTTATAGATGAACGGAAAGGCCTGTAGTTGAAAGGGACTGTTTGCGATCGAAGACGTCTACTTTACCTATCCTTCCTCGT